GGTGGGAACAAACCAACCAATAGCCGGCTGCTCAACAAATACGTAGGAGAAAATGGAGATGGATTGGGCATACATTGAGGAAACTATCGAATGACATCGAGCGAAATGCAGGTCATTGCTCGAGTAGAATCCTATTGGGAAGCGACGAGTGAGTCACCAATGCGAGGATGACATGGAGGAGACCTTTTGAGGAGTCGAGGGATTATGGAAAATGATGAACCCAGTTGAAGAGGATAGCAGAGAATAGAACAAAGTGGAGATGTGTTGCTGAAGCCCTATGTTTCACAAAAATAAGCATAAATGGGAGGAACCTGAAAGAAACTACTCCCTTCACCTACCTGGGAAGCATCGTTTCAACTACAGGCGGAGGGAACTGACGAGGATATCAAAGCAAGGCAAACTTTCACTACTCTCAAGTCTGTGTGGAGGTCAACAGCATTCAGCATCAAAAATAAGATCCAGATTTTCAACTGCAATGTGAAGTCAGTGCTACTATACGGATCAGAGACTTGCACTGCGCGTCATAAAGAGCACCTCAAACAAACTACAGACCTTCATTAACAGCTGTCTTCACTCAATACTCAAGATCAGATGGCCAGAAAAGATCAGCAATAGGGATCTCTGGGAGCAAACCAACCAGGAACCGATTGTGAAACGAGTAGGCAGGAAGAAATGGAGATGGATTGGTCATACTCTGAGGAAACCATCAAGTGACATCACTCGAGTAGAACCCGAAAGGGAAGCGGCGAGTTGATCGTCAGTGCAAGGGTGATTTGGAGGAGGTCATGTGAAGAGGAGATGAAAGCATGTGGGCAGACTTGGAGAACCGAGCGCAGTGGAGACGCGCGGCTGAAGCCCTATGTTGCTCTAGGAATTAAAGGAAATAATAATAATGACAATAATAACAAGCCTAGGGTTCGTTCCAATACTCCAAACATATATAATGACCTCTGTGTTCAGTGTGTATTTGGAGAAATTACCTTGTGCCTGATTTATACACGATTATACACCACATTTATGTTAGTCGAATTGTTACCTAATTGCAAAATGCCACAACTACACGATAACAAATCAGCAGTATCAGTCTTAATAGTGGTGGTCATTTTGTAACAATTACCTGTCTCCTGCATATATTTGGACCATACTCAGTGTTTACTTTTACATGAAATAATCTGAGTCATGAAACTATCAACTTCTCATTCATATATCTCCATTCTTCTATGTTTCGCTCTGATTCGGACCTTACTGTTTTATATATAACAGAAAGTAGTGTAGCAATCACAGGTCAAATAAGCGAGCTGTTGATGATCTTTGAACCAGCGAATATTCTAGTAGTTACATCACAGTTTCTAGCATTCATTACTGCACGAAGCGTACGACATTCACTCTTCTAAAATTATATAGTCGATGCACTGTACAAGTATTAAGTGACTTGGTTCAAAGTGAGGTTGCTAAGTATCAAGCATGCATCGACTAATTTACTTCGAACCTATACATAGTCCGAGGTACCACCACTAATCGGTGAATATCACGCGATATCTAGGACAGTAGAATAAAGTAAGAAGTCATTTTGTAATCTAAACTGAAATTAATGAAATCAGCACTCGAAAATAAGAATTATCAGTCCATTAAATGCTGACAACATATACTGGTGAACGATCTAAGCCGTAACACCATTCAGGATGTACGTGTAAAACGTGATATGAACTAAGAAATCAGTGTAAAATGTAAGATGATGTTACAGGATTGGATTACACCGACACCTATATTAGAAATAGGAAGTGAAGTGTTGGAGCACGTTGGCCGCTTCACTTATTCGGGAAGTACCATCAGCCCCAACGGGTTGATCTCTGAAGAAATCGCAGGACGGATACAGAGGGCTAGTTTCGCGTATGCCAGTTTACGCCATCTCTGGAGTCGACGTGATGTCCGGCTATCGACCAAAGGGCGTGTTTACTGCTCAACAGTCCCCTCCGTTCTCCTTTATGGCTGTGAGACCTGGCCATTGAGAGTGGAAGACACGAAAAGATTAGCTCTCTTCGATCATAGGTGTCTGCGTTCTATCTCCCGCGTGAAGTGGTATAATAAGGTGAGCAATATTGAGGTTAGGCGTCGAGTGCTAGGTAAGGAGGGGAAATCAATCGATGCGACTGTGAAATTACACCGACTGAGATGGTTAGGACATGTGTTACGTATGCTTAGTCATCGCCTTCCTCCACTGACGGGCAATGTTAGCTGACAGGGTCAGACTGGAAAAGAGCTAGCGGCGGTCAAACGAAAACATGGCACCAGTCAATGAAATCCACAAGTTAGTCTAAGCCACGTAGGAAGATGTAGACTTCCTGGTTGGGGTCATCGGGTGACATGGCTCAAAATCGTTCTCAGTGGCGCAGATGCATCCACTCCTTGTGACTTTTGATTTCCAATTAAACTGTTTTGTTCTTCACTATTACTATACTTTTGTCTCACACCTCTGTTTACTGACTATTATGCATTTCTCCTACTTTCTTCTCTTGCTTTGTGTGCTACATAGAATGTGGCGACTTGAACTGCCGCACATATGTGCAAAGTTCTATGTCGAAAACCGACCGACCGAAGAAATCAGTGAATTATAATTAATTCGGACAATCATCAATGATACAAACAGGTCAATACGAGAGCAGATTAATTATAGACATGCTTCGTTGTTTATGTAAGAATATTCGCATGATATAGAAATTTTTAGTGACAGAGATATATGGTTGAACATAACTTAACATCTTGTAAAGGATCCTTACATATTGATGAATTACATTGGAGATTTCCGGATAGTGATATATTGGCAAATTCCCCAAAATTATAAGCTTACAGATATCACCACCCAACGTGGAATACTTAAGCTGTCAAGTATCCTTCACTATTGACACGCTCCTGTTCACCCACGATCTCTAGTTATCTAAAGCAGGTATCACTGTTCATGAGTACCGACCCCAACATAGACTTCGTATTTTGGATGATCTTATTGTTATACTGTCTTTACTTAATAAATGTTCTCTGGCCTAGGTTGAAAAAGTACACTGGGAAGTTGAAGGATATATGTATTATCGTATCGTTCGTGTTCATCAAAACCTTCGACTCCTAAAATATCTTATGATCATAATTTATTGATTCTTATCAACTTTATACAACCTGAAACAATTAAAATATATGTTTAGAAATTGAGCAGTGCGGCAGAATGCAAGTCCATACCATCAGTTTGTTTCTTATACAGACCACACAGTAAAACATTACTAATTTACTGGGAGACGTTTAGAAAACGACCTATTGTTTACAAATATATCATATGTTATATGATATTACACTCAGTATACAACCACTTCACTTTGAGATCTAAATGATAATAATAAATAAACTAGGTTTCATGCTTCCTGCTGACTGCCTCCAACCAACTAGTGACAACAATCCTGTGTACGATGATGGTGAGCCACCTAACATGGCGGCCACATCGCAAGCTTGACTGATAGAACTCAGTCTGCAGTAAACAAAGGACAAAACACATGGAACGCCCAATCAAAAGAATAACCTCCCCACCAAAAAACATAACTACGCACTTTGAATAACTATACAAAAACTTCAGGTAGTATTGCCAGCTACATAGTTACACAGTTACAATCAGTTTCTTTACACATGGGTAACTCTACATGACCCCATATTGGATACACAGAACTATAGAGATATACTGAGTGGTAAATCAAAGGACCCAGTAGTTGATGCCTGAACTTTTCATATTTGAACGCGTAATCAACGTTTGGTGGTGTTTTATATGCCTCACATGCACGGGTTAAAATTGCATTTATAAGGTAACTGCCCACGTCTAACTACTAAACAACGAAACACAACGCTAGTACTTAAAATCCTCATGACAATCTTAGTCAAATTCAAGTGTGTTGGCACACTAAGAGCTCGAACCTTTCAATTAAATGAAGTATGGCGGCAATCCCAACCCTTTAAGACATATGGTGATTACTAAAAAGGGCTTTTTCTATAGGTAGTCGTCATCATAATAAAACTCTGATAAGATTTCAGGTGACCAAAACCATGTGCGCCTACTGTAAGATAAATGCTTCATCCGCAGTTAGTGCAATTAGTGTAAGAGCATAGGGACATCTTTTAAGAAACTGTACAGTGAGCAACACAACAGAGTATAACAAAGCACGGAGTTATCCAGTGGCTTAACTTACTCTCTTTTTAGAGAATCTGAACTGCTTGAATTAGTTAGTTAAAATGAATACACCATCCTAGGACACGGAACTGTCAATGACCATCCCCACTAGTGAATTTGAACAGTACCTACTAATGCGTCACAAAGAGCCAGTAACCACTTGCTAAACTGAATTATGCTACACTAAATATAGTTCTGCTCAAAACATACCACTCCTCAGTACAGCAGTACACTAAATACATCGTGTCACGACCTGCATACACCAATTTACGGCCGTATCGATGGCTAGGTAGCAACTAAAAACATCCGCTCATTCCATAATGCTTCTGAACAAGACATCCTGTTGATAATGTAGTCACAAAATTAAGAATAATGTATCGCCCGTGGTCCTTAATTCGGTGAGGACATCTACTGAAATACTGCACGCCTCAATCAAAGCCAACACGACCACGCAATCAGTCAACGCAATTAATTACTTGCTGCTTTTTTGTAGGAATACTACTTAAGGTGGCTCTGCATTAGACATTCAGCTACACAACTGTTAAAGTATGAGCCGATATTTAAAAAGATGCCGTGACAATTACGTAAAACGATAACCAAAACCGAAAAAACAAGCACATCGGCCGGATTTTCAAAAGTCGACGATTATGCTAAGGCAAAGCAGTGAGTCCGAAAACCCACTTACTATAAACCCTCTCACCACTAACCAGTCAACATAAAACCGACGCGATGAAAACAAAACAAAAACGTTTAGGTAGACCACATTGTTATTAAACCAAACACAAAAATCCAAATAAGATTACTGACCACCTCGAAGACGAAGCACCAAGTGCAATGTTGACTCCTTCTGGATGTTGTAATCGGACAGAGTACGACCGTCTTCCAACTGTTTACCAGCAAAAATCAAACGTTGTTGGTCTGGAGGAATGCCTTCTTTGTCTTGGATCTTCGCCTTCACATTCTCGATCGTGTCACTAGGCTCAACCTCCAACGTGATCGTCTTACCAGTCAATGTCTTCACGAAGATTTGCATACCACCACGAAGACGGAGAACCAGATGCAATGTCGACTCTTTCTGGATGTTGTAATCGGACAGAGTACGACCGTCTTCCAACTGTTTACCAGCAAAAATCAAACGTTGTTGGTCTGGAGGAATGCCTTCTTTGTCTTGGATCTTCGCCTTCACATTCTCGATCGTGTCACTAGGCTCAACCTCCAACGTGATCGTCTTACCAGTTAATGTCTTCACGAAGATTTGCATACCACCACGAAGACGGAGAACCAGATGCAATGTTGACTCTTTCTGGATGTTGTAATCGGACAGAGTACGACCGTCTTCCAACTGTTTACCAGCAAAAATCAAACGTTGTTGGTCTGGAGGAATGCCTTCTTTGTCTTGGATCTTCGCCTTCACATTCTCGATCGTGTCACTAGGCTCAACCTCCAACGTGATCGTCTTACCAGTCAATGTCTTCACGAAGATTTGCATACCACCACGCAGACGGAGAACCAGATGCAGTGTCGACTCTTTCTGGATGTTGTAATCGGACAGAGTACGACCGTCTTCCAACTGTTTACCAGCAAAAATCAAACGTTGTTGGTCTGGAGGAATGCCTTCTTTGTCTTGGATCTTCGCCTTCACATTCTCGATCGTGTCACTAGGCTCAACCTCCAACGTGATCGTCTTACCAGTCAATGTCTTCACGAAGATTTGCATACCACCACGAAGACGGAGAACCAGATGCAATGTCGACTCTTTCTGGATGTTGTAATCGGACAGAGTACGACCGTCTTCCAACTGTTTACCAGCAAAAATCAAACGTTGTTGGTCTGGAGGAATGCCTTCTTTGTCTTGGATCTTCGCCTTCACATTCTCGATCGTGTCACTAGGCTCAACCTCCAAAGTAATGGTCTTCCCGGTTAATGTCTTAACAAATATCTGCATTTCAGAAGGTAAACAAAGGCTACTAGATTTCGAATATGGATACCTGTGGCGACTGAACTATATATACGGGTATGTCCAGGTTACTTCCTTATTAGGGCATTAAAACAAATAATCAGTCAAACAAACGTCAACTGTTTGTATTTATCATCTGGTTCAGTCTTACTGTTTTTTGAAGCCTCTCTCTAACATGAGTACGTGTCTGTCATCCTTAAGCTCTCTTCGAACTCCTAAATTATCCCCATGGAGAACCGTAGGTAATTCAGTGAACATAGGTTCCAATATCCAATATCGTTTTTACGAGGTAGTATAAAACAGTTTGTTTTCTTTATGCTCGCTTCTTGATTGTAAGTTAAAAGTTCCTGGTCTTCGGTAAACTTCTGCGTAGTTCGTCCAACCAGTCGACTGTCGTAGCTAGGATTGGCCCCAAAAAGGAAGTGTTGGGATTAATTTTATGTTGTTTGTAGTGTGTCGTGTGTTAAGACCGTGTTGCTACTGTGAATGGAGTTGATTCTTTCACTAGCTAGTCCTGCGTCGGTGGCACAGTGGTTAGGACTCTCGCCGACCATGCACATGGTCCGGGGTTCGATCCCCTGCCGGCGCACACCCGATATCTATGGTATGCCTGAATTTGGGCAACCGATATCCATGCTGAAAATTCCATACTTGTACTGAAAATACGGTGTGGAATCAAGCTGTAAATCAAAAAAATAACAGATATAATTAGTGTTGGTTATTCAGACCAAAAGACAGGAAAAGGAGTAGAGAAAACGTAAAAACAGACAGCCAATTGAATCTGAAGTTTTTATATAAACACACATATATGCATATAATATCAATAATAATTATAAGCGCAAGTGTAGTAGCTGGACTAGTCCGGAGAGTAAAACAAGAGAGAATGTGAAGAAGTAAAACGATGTTTGGATGTCTACCTATTAATAGTGTACGAGATTTTAAGGGGATAGGCCATTTGAACTCAGTCCTTGTGGCTCTACATGATGGTCCAGCCTTCTGTTAAAGCTGTCTATAGCTACATCTGCCGTTAAGCAGTCCCAGGGATGGTGAACTGGCAGTGAAAAGATGTAGGAGCGCACTTGAGTCTTCGCCTTCTGGTAAGCTATCCTACTGGGAGTTCCATGAGGAAGCCTATAAAATACTCAATGTCAAAAAACTTTTGTTTGGGTGATTCTGATAATTTATTATCTTGTAGGCAGTAATCAAGCCCCCCTACCTAAGCCTACTGAAGCTAATTGTGAATAGGCCTAATTTCTTTGGCCGTTCATTGTTTGTTATTTTCGGAGACGCACCACTCCTTTTGTTATCTCCTTTGGACTCCTCCCAAAAGGTTCACGTCTCTCCTAAGCAGTAGGGGTGCAGTGATATTGTGCACTCACTAATATACGAGGTATTTAAGTAGGGACCTATTATGATACTGTCCGGCACTCCACTGCGTACTATCAACTAGGAGGACAGTTTTTATTTGATCCTGACTCCTTATCTCTTAATTTTTTATTTTTCTTAAGCCATTTTGGCAAGCAGCCAATGATTTCAAGACTTTCTGGCCTAATGAGCAACCTGTTGCTTTGGCAGTTTGCCGAAACTCTTCTGAAAACTATGGGAACAACGCTTGTGGCCCGTGGTCTCGACCTGTATTTCCAGTGCCGATTTTTAATGGTCATGCAGCCAGACACTTCACTTATTTGTAAGTCAACTGTTTGCTTCATAATTTGATATGAAATTGCATGTGATGTATGATTACCCAGTATTTGAACTGCGTCGGCAATCCTCATGCATGTGACGTTAACTAATTTGACATTTGTTCGTCTGCCTGAAGTCGCTTGAGGATTATGAAACCTACATACATTGTGTGTCAGTTATAAATGTAAGTGTTGATTTTACACAAGATAGACCTCAATTAACAGCACTCACTAAAGATTTCACCTCTTAATACCCTTATCAGTACTCTATCTAGCGTTTAAATACTGATTAAAGAACTCAAAGTAAAACGGCTGGAGACTGCGTAGTGTGTCTTGATGAGAGTTGTGTTTTTATATAGATTACACATCAATTTTAATAAATAAGAATATTATACAACTTATCTGTTGCCTGGCTGCGTAGTAAGCTCTAAGAGTGCTCTTAATGGTACCACAACTAGAGCAAGTCATTTCTGACGCGTACGGGAATTATACGGCAATGACACCTAGGTAGTTAGGCGACATAAATACTTGGGATATCTAGGTAAAATAATAGTATGTGGAGCACCAACCTGGCAACGGAACACACCAAGGATTTATATAAATGGATGCCGTTTGTAATAAAGGCATGACAGTGATACAATTCTACATTAGTGGATCGCTTTCAGTTTCTCACCATTCTTACATCATCTAGCCATTAACACCATCAGCTACAAATTAGCTGGGAGTATGCTGTCTGGGCCGAGGGCGTCATGGCAATCTCCGAACCTGCGCTTCGTTAGATGGTTGATGGAGCACTAAGATTAATTAACTTGGGTACTGGCACCATGGATTGGCTAAGCTTTTTCTCAGAAAGCTCTGCTCGTAAACTTAGGCGCTACTATAGATTTTTAATCAGAGTACTTTCTGCCTAATAGACCGATAGTTAGCAGATTATTGCTCATAATCATTTCAAGTTCTTGATGTGATTATGAGCAATAGTTTGTGCTCGAAACGTCATCAGTTAATATAACTGTATGACACTGTGTGATTTATCAAAATAAAATCGTAACCATTATGGAGATGGCTGTCATCTCAGATGGCCCTTGGCGCTTCTACGGCAATCTCCATTTTTCGGCTACCTCGCCTCGCCCATCTCACAATGATTAGTTCAACAAGGCTGCTAAGTGTCACATTCAACTCCCGGAAGCATTTGGCCATAATACTTCAACGGCGTTATGAGACCAATGGGAAAATGGGAGGACACATCCGATGCTGCGAGAGCAGACCTCGAACCATACGGAGGCAGCAAACTGAGGCTTTAATACGTCCCTAAGCTTCAGTGACACTAGAGCGATGCAGTTCTGAGAATAACAGTCTATGTCACCCAAGTGCCCTACCTCAATCCTTTGAAAAAACTACAATGGGGTGGTGCCATCGGAATCGGCCAACTAGTCCCAACATTAATTCCCCTACCGGCAGACAGCTTCACGTCAACTGCCCGACAATACGCTGAGGTTGTGAGACTCACTGTCAGCTGCCTAAATAGCAATGTGAGAGGACTGAAAGGAAAAGTAGGAGAACTCAGAAATCTCCAATCACACCCACAACTTAAAATAATCATTCTTACTGAAACCTGGCTAACCCCGACTATCGCCAACAACGAAATCAGTATGGGTGATAAAGTTCTGGTCAGGAAAGATAGTGATAATAAGGAAGGAGGGGGAGTTGCCATATACTTTTACAGCTTAAATGTGTACGCGCAACGAACCCACCACTTGTTGAACTCCCAGACTTCATATGATGTCATTTCACCGTAGGACACATCAAGAATTTACTGGGTGGCCTTTACCGATCACCCACCTGTGGGGCAGAGCACAACCAGCTATTGCTCAGCACCATCACAGGGATACGGGACTTTGGCTATTACGAAATCACCATAGCTGCAGATTCCAATGCTCTATCACTGAACCTTTGCTCGCGGCGTGCTAAGGGAAAATTCGGCAGGGATCTACTGCAAACTATTCGAAATACAGGACTGACTGAGTATTCTGGAAACGACACTAGGTTGGACCCTAGTGGAAAGTCATCGAAACTAGATTACATTGTAACTAGTGACCAACTACTGGTCGAAAAGGTCCAGATCATGACTCCTCTAGGAGGTAGCGACCATGCAGTCACAGGATTCGATCTTGTCCTCTGTGAGCACTTGCATTGGGCACTACGCGACCATGTCTGTGCTACAACAAGGCAGCCTATACTGAAACGTGTCAGATTTAGTCCGACGCATGATGGACCCTAGCATGGGATGAGTTATCTGTGGATAAACACAAGCAAGTGATAAGAGATATTATTTTTAACAGCAATCTCGGATACCGTATATCTAGTCACAACACAGCCGAAGAAAGTGTCCTCATGGCTGCAGAGAAGTACGTGTTAATCGCAACAGATAGATAGACTGTATGATAGACAGCTAATCAATATTATGTGACCCTTTTGTCGCGATTATTGGTTAATTTAATGTAACTCACACCACGTGATGTGACCTTGAGTGTTCTTTGTTTTCTGTCACTCTATTTGTGTGTACGTGTAATTAATTAACTGTTCCTTTTGTCCATTCCCTCAATACTGTTCGGTACGTTTTTGTCTTTTCCTGAGTGACAATGAGTTTTATAATTTTCTTGGTATAATTGTGTGATTTATTTTATGTTTTAGAAACAGATAAAGTTTAAGTCAAGTCACTTTGTTTTTAACTATGGTAAGGATAAGACTCTGTGTTGTCAGTACTGAGCGGAAGGACTAGATCTGTAGGCAATAGTAATCCTAAAAAGTTTCGAACAGTATGGCAGACGGAAAATATGAGACTATGCCGACGTTAACTCCACGGTCAGAAAAGAGTAGTGAAACTGATTTCCCTGGAAGCAACGGGTATAGATCAAACTATACGGTAGAGTTGGAGCTAACGGAAATACAGAAAGAAATTAAATTGGAAAGATTATGAGAAGCTAGTCGTGAATGTTCTGATGATAATAAGTCGCCTTACACGCATTCTACTTCTCATGCAGTCACCATATCTCCTAATGATGAGTTCGCCAGAGCCATGTCCAAGTTTCTGGACATGCCTAAAAGAGAAATTATTAAGTTTAACGGTAATCCTGTGAATTATTGGAATTTTATAAAGAATTTTGAACGCTTGGTGGATGCTTCTGGATACCGAACTAAGCTAATTTACTTAATTTAGTATTGTGAGGGAGAAGCAAAAGATGTAATCAAACACTGAGCCAGAGGAAGGTTATTATAAAGCCCTAGAACTGTTAGAAGAAGCATTTG